GGTGGGGGGGACACAGCCGGTTGAAAAGGTCTTGGAGTCGTACTGCCCACACACACGTACGTACTCGAGTACATCACTGTTGTTCATCTTTCTACATACATACATCACGCATTGGAGTTGTACTGCACACGCAAATCATGCTCCCCACACTTAGCGCCGGCACTATTCTGCGATCGTACTCTCTCGCCCTGCGCATGCTAGTCCATTGTGTGTGTGTGTGTGTGTGTGTGTGTGTGTGTGTGTGTGTGTGTGTGTGTGTGTGTGTGTGTGTGTGTGTGTGTGTGTGTGTGTGTGTGTGTGTGTGTGTGTGTGTGTGTGTGTGTGTTGTGTGTTGTGTGCTCTCTCCCTTTCTCCCTCTCGGTGGTTTCTTTTCTCTTGTGTTACTCGAGTAGTGCCAGCGCGCGCCGGTCCCGTGCCCCGTTGTTGAGCACTTGAGCACTGGATAGGGTCGGTTCCGGATAAGGGCGACGTCAATCACAAATTCTTTCTTAAAATTCTTCCTCCAGTTCGCACCTGTGTCGAGCCTGTCTGCTGTGACGCCAGTTGTTTTTTTTAAATTCTTCCTCCTTCGCTGGATCCGATACTCGTACGTTCGCGCGCGACGACACATGTCCCAGGCCAAAGGAGGAGATGGGAGGACGGCGGTAAGGTAAGGTAAGGTAAACTTCTCCACACACACGAGGTGGTGGGGCAAGGGGGGGCAACCCTCGCGTCTCCACGTCTAACGACAGGAGCCCCACGGCATTCAAAGTGCAAGGCCCGGTGCGCGTGGGTGAGCGGTGTGTGTGTGTGTGTGTGTGTGTGTGTGTGTGTGTGTGTGTGTGTGTGTGTGTGTGTGTGTGTGTGTGTGTGTGTGTGTGTGTGTGTGTGTGTGTGTGTGTGTGTGTGTGTTAGGTTAGGTAGAAAGGTAGTTAGTTAGTTAGGAAGGTGAAGAACAGTCAGGCTCGGACTCGCCGCGCGCACCGCCACCATTGCGACCCAGAGCTAAGAGAGACATCGCGAAAACCGCGCCAATAAGTTGCTGCCGATAAGTTCGCCCAACGGCGGCGCGGCGTGCAATAATTGCAAATAGGAAACCGCGCCAGACCGGCGGCGCCGAAGTGGAACGGCGCCTCGCACGGCGGACACCAGCAATATTAATAATTGACTTGAGCCGCCATGGTAGGACGCCGCCCTGAATGATGACGGCAAAGCAACCCGAATAATAAAAGCCATTGCTCCCTCAGTGTAAACGACTGTGAATACCGAACTCCCCCATTCACACCTAGTCACCGTGGCCCAACTGGGGTCAAGCCTGCAGTCTCGATCGGTTCGGCCGAGTTGGCTGCTGACTGCGCCATGCCTAGCTGCTGGCCCACGCGGTCGAGCTCGCGCGTGATGAATTTTGCCTTCCTCTTGGCCCTCCTCCCGCTGGCGGCCGCGCACAGCAACTTGATCAAGCCGAAGCCTCGCAACGCCATCGACTCGGAGCTCCCCGAGTGGGCGAACGGGAAGGCGCCATATCATTGGGAAGGTCCAGGGAACGGCACCGCTCCTTGCGCGTGCCGAAATGGCACGGACGTGTGCGCCTCAGCGCAGACCTGCCTGTGGTTTAATGTGGGGACGACGATCGGCTGCCCGTTGCCTGACGGCGGCGACAAGGGCCCGTCCAACCCCAATCGGATCGACCGGTGCGGCGCGGGCATGAAGGCGACCAACAATGACCCTGCGCACCGGACCATCAACCGTGCGGCCGTGGCGGGCTCCAAGGATGACTGGACGAAATTCAACCCCTGGCGTGCGCCCGGCCACGCCCCCGTGTACGACGCCTGCGGCCGCGCGAGCGGCTCGTACCAGGCCACGCCTGGGAAGGGCGAGTTCACCGATACGAAATACGCCAAGCTGGGCGACCTCGGCTCTCAGGTTTTGCCCAAGTACGACACCGGCACCGTGTGGCGCACCGGCTCGGTGGTCGAGACGAGGTCGAGTTTCCGTGCCAACCACGGCGGCGGCTACCAGTTTCGGCTTTGCCCCTTGACATCGGATCTGACCGAGGCCTGCTTCCAGCAGACGCCCATGCCATTCGCCGGCAACTCCAAGTTGATGATCTCGGATGGCAGCATGATCGAGCTCGACTCCGTCGATGTGAGCAACGGGACGCTGCCGGTCGGAGGCACCTGGCGCATGCTCGGAGTCCCGGACGTGGCGGGTGCTGCCACGTCCGGCTGGGCCTTCAAGCCTCCATGCCACGAGCCAGGGTACCCGAATCACCCGCCCAAGAGCTACACCATCCAGGCCAACTGCACGGGTGACTGGACGCACAACATAACAATGTACGATTACCTCCGCGTGCCCGCGCATTTGGCGCCAGGCGAGTACGTCCTCGGCTTTCGCTACGACTGTGAGACGAGCGCTCAGGTCTGGCAGTCGTGTGCGGATGTGAAGATCTTCGGCGCGGCGCTGTGAGGTTTTAAAGAGTACGGCAAGCGCGGGTGGTGCGGTGCGCCCGGCCCCTGCTCTCTTGTCGTCTAAAGCTACTACGGCTTTAAAGTAAAGCGCCGTAAATACGCTCTACTAAGGTAAGGTAAGGTACTGACGTAAGGTAAACTTCTCCACACACATGAGGTGGTGGGGCAAGGGGGGGCAACCCTCGCGTCTCCACGTCTAACGACAGGAGCCCTAGTAAATACTATAGTATCGTAAACGCGACATGTAAAACCTGCGCCGCCGACGCGCCGTGACCGTCGATCGACGATCCGCGATTGCTTGCGAGTTGCGTTGCCCCGTTGTTGCGACGCCGTTGCAATTGTTTTGGGGCTCGTAGAGCTCGTTGGCGAGCCAGTCCCGGGCGACTTTGGTCGCCACGGAGCCCAGAGGGACCGTGGCGTACGCAACAGGTCGCCGAACCCGCTGCCCCCCTCGGGAGGGAGCGAGTAGGCGACCTGACTGTTGGACCCTGTGGGGTTGCGCGCCGCCTGCGTCGCAGCCTCCAGGCCGTCCATCACGAGCCGCCTGCTGGTGCGGCTGCAATGGGCTCTGGAGTGGCCTCGCCGCTACTGCTGCGGCTCGCACCGCTACTGCTGCGGCGTGCGCGGCTAATGGGGGGCTCCGAACTGTTTATGGGTCGGGCGGTTGCGCACGTCCTTGGGTCGCCATTCCTGACCGAGTGCTGCCTCGGATGAGAGCAGCTCCTGCATGCTTCGAAACACGAAAGCCTTGGAGAGGAGAGCCACAACCGACGGACCAAGCAGGGGCCGCTATCCTCCGAGCCGACGCGCGATGGTTCGGAGCGGCAACCCAGACGTGTGCAGCCCCGCCCGATCTACGACTAGCTTTTGGGGGACGGGGGCATGACAACATACACATACATACATTCACGCTATGACAGGGACCGCGGCCGCGGAGCCGGCGGCGGACGGAGCTGGCGCGCAAGCGCCGGCCACCGTCGGGCCGCCGGGAACGCGCCGCGGACGACCCTGGAATCGCTACGATCGCGCGCACATGGAAGACTGCCTCATTGCCGCAAGGCTCGCAGGTGTGTCGCAGCTCAGGTATGAGTGCCCTGGCTACGGGACGGCGACCTTCGACCTGAAGTCCGAGAAGGCCGCGGGCGACCGCGAGCCGGTGCAGGCGGCGGAGCGCTCGTTCGTCGAGCGCACCGCGTCGCGGAAGGAGGAGCCGACGGAGGAGCAGAAGGATGCTCGGGCCGCGGCTCGCAGGGCCAAAAAGGCCCGGCAGAAGGCGAACAAGGCGGAGAGGAAGGCTGCGGCGGCGGCCGCGAGCGAGGCCGAGCGTGCGGACTACCCGCACGAGCAGCTGCGCGAGAACGTCGAGTTCGTGATGGACGGCCTAGAGGCTGCGACGCAGGCGGCGCGCAACCCCAGCGGGTCCAATATTCAGGTCGCCTACTCGCTGCCTCCCGAGGGGGGCAGCAGGTTCGGCGACCTGGTGTACGCCACGGTCCCTCTGGGCTCCGTGGCGACGAAGGTCGCCCGGGACTGGCTCGCCAACGAGCTCTACGAGCCGTCCCGGCGCGGCAAAATTGATGCGGCCTGCAGGGACCGAAAGGTCGCCGACCTGATCACGGCTGCCGGCGCCTCGGCGCCGGCCGACGCCGTGTTCAGCGGCAGGTTCGCGACGGGCGAGGCGCCCCGCCCGACGACCTCCGCCTCCAAGGCGGACGAGGGCGACGGCGCCGGCGGCGATGGCGGGACCGGCTTCGACCTGTTCGGGCCGGACCCCACCCTCATGGTACATGGAGGATCTCTGAGGTCCTCCCCAGTCTCACCCCACCTTACCTCTGCCCCCCCCTCCCCCCATCCCTCTGCCTCCCATAGGGCAGGATAGCACTAGCATATGCGCCGAGTGCGCACACTGGGCCCACATAGATGTGACCCGCCCACTCGAGTGCGGCGCCCGGATGCTAGTGCTTGAGAAGACACCACAAACGCGGCACGGCCCGTTTTGGATGTCTGCGGAGATTCTGTCTTAGCACACACAGGGAGTCATTCGGAGTCATTCGATGGCCAGAGTGCGATTGTGTGTGTGCGGGAGTTGGTTTGTCGGGAGGGAGGGGCAGGCTGCTCACCCACGTGCACCGGGCCAGTGCTTGCACTTTGAATGCCGTGGGGCTCCTGCTCGTGTCCGGGCGTGGAGATGCGAGGGTCGCCCCCCCTTGCCCCACCACTTTGTGTGTGTGGAGAAATTTACCTTACCTTAGAGCCGTACCTTACATTCATTCATGACTCTCAATCAGCGCTTTGATCCCAATCACGCCACATGTGTGACTCGGCTAGTGTGGAGACGCCGTGTACGCAGAGTACCGTGGGGCCTCCTTGTCCTAGCACGGGAGTACCCGTGTGGACCGGAGGTAACAGCAGCAGCAGGGGGGGGGGGGGGGGGGGGCTTAATGCTGGTGCTGCTGCTGCTCGCGGGGCCGTCCACCCTTGTAAAAGCCGAGGGGTTTTTTTTGCTCCTACCCGGGGAGAACCCCCCCCTCAGGGGGGGAGTACGGGAATGTGCAGCGTCCTCAAAACACCCCGGGAAGGGGGGGCTACCAATGCCACGGAAAACAGCGGAATACCCCACCCCAATGCAGGGGAACACCCCTCCTCTCAAGCCCTGGGGGGGAAACTGGAAGGCCCCTTCCCCGTCTAGGCTGTTGTTGCCCCCCAGGGGAGAAAAAGGGTGTCCAACTGCCCATGTCCCTGCGGCAAGGAAAAAGGGACCGCGGTTCGGAACCCCCCCCGGCCCCCCAAAA